CTCAAACACGTCCTAGGCGGAGCCAGTGAACATCAGTAAACGCACAGCCGGTTAGCAGAGTAAACGACAACGTAATGTGGCACCCGTCCGTTTAAAGTGTCCAGGTGGGGGTGGGGGTGTTGAAAGCTGAACTTTGGTGCTGTTTGGTGCAATGAACATGCCAATGACATAAGTTTCGTGAACTGTCTAGGCTGCAAGGGAGCACAGCCAGTTGTCACATACACACATACACACACACGTCCGCGAACATCCAGGATTAAATGACACACGGATTTGAATGTGCAATGTGCTTTCCGATGCGCTACCATGACAGTGACCTCAGGCCACAACCCGTGCATACATGTCTTAACCCTGACGATGACAGTGTCACTCAACATTTAACCGTTTAGTATGCAGTCGAATCTAAAAGAACCAATCCCCACCCGGTCAACTGTAAGTCTAAATCTGCGCTGTCACCATGACGATTGCATAAGGTCGCCAAACTGAAAACAACAACAAAGAGCATCGCGTATTGATAATTCACACGCTTAAAGTCATCAACTGTTAAAGTCAGATAATTCATCTGTAGAGAACCGCTTCGTACACGCACATGAACACACACAATGACACTCTTCGACCTAAATCGGAATCAACGTTAATGCAAGGTACCTTACATTCGGCTTTGGACGAAACGAATACCGATGCGTTCATGGCGGATTCGGCTAGTACTTTGACCCCAAATTGAATCTCATGGGAGTAGGGCGCAATTGAGGGATCTCCGTAAAACGGATGGGAAACATACCGCGTAGTGTAGTCCTGATTAGGACCCCGGCTGAGGCCAGTTCTCAAGGGAACAGCAGCGCGTGCATACAACCACAAGGCTCTACCTATCATATACCCCAGCATTGGTAGATAACATGATAATTATATTATGTATGCGAGGTACTATAATATGCGCCGTGATCTGTATGTATTTCCAAATAACCGATTCATTGAAGAAAAATTAACAATGGTTTTTAACGTTCACCCCCAATGGTTTGTATTATTCAGAGCCTATAATGCGTGAATAGAAGGTTCCCTTGGTTAAACTAGTTGGTTATTACGAAGTTGATTGTCATAAAACAGACGATTGCAGCAAAAACAACCAGCTAAAATCTGTTAGACGTAGGACAGCGTTTTCTCTGACGAATCAGATTGTGTTTTGTGTGGTAAACTTTACTAAATGTGAATTTAATACTCACCTCGACTAGTACGTGAAGCGTTCAACTCTCCACTGGCACGTGATGCAGGTCGCGCGGAGCCGGGGCGAATACATTTACTATCCAACATTTCCTCACTCTCATTTGGATTTTGTCGTTCCGAATGAAGAAGCATTTCTTTGACAAACTCATCCACTTCACCATCCTCTTCATCCCCTTCTTCATCACTTCTTTCGTCCTCGGCCAAGCCGTCCTCATCGTTTCCTGGGCGATGCGAAACACCAGTTGCGTTGTTTTGCATATTCAACTCGGGGCGGTTTGTGCCGCACATACCAGCCATAGCAGCCGCGGCTGCAGCCATCATCGCGGCCAGCGATGAAGAGGGATGTGTACCGGGTACGGAGCCGACAACTGTACCGGCATGGTCCATTCCCATTGATGTGGGCAATGAAAAGTAATTGGATTGGGAGATCGTATTCAAACGATTGTTCTGAGACGGGGATCTTTGTGACCCAACGGGAACCCCACCACCCTCTCCAGTACCACTGGTAGTATTACCACCGCCGGTAGCATTCGCCACAGTGGAGGCACTCCCACTACCTACGTTACTACCGCCTGTCCCAGTACTCAGCGGGTTCATGTCTGATGCGGTTGGATCTACCGGAAAACTGGAAGGCAAATTTAACTGGGCAAACTCATTGAGTCGAGCCAGACTGAATGCAGCTTCGGGAATTAGTGTACCAGTCTGTTTTGTGCCCGAGTGATCCGCCGATGCAGTGGAATTGAGTAAAGTTGTCATGATACTGCTGTTCGTGTTCATACTGATCCCGCTGACTGTATTCCCCATGCTGGGTACCGTATTTGTATTACTGGTGGTTGTGGTTGTAGTCAGTTCTGTATTATTTTCTATCAGGGATTGATTAAGCATGGGTAGGAATTGGTTCGGCGCTATAGAGGGGTACGGTAAGAGACCAGCAGCAGTTTCAGCCTGCTGCGTACACCAAGCGGAAATGGCATTTGCCAGGGCAGATTGATTCGGATCGGATAGTGTACCCGCGGATCCGAGTAAATTTAACTGAACAGGGAACGACAGCTGTTGGCTCAACAGAGGATTGCACTTTGGAGATGGTGTTTGCTGAGTTGGGACGAATGGTGAATAACCGAACAACGATTTGGGCATTAAACCTTGTGCGAAGGCAGAGTTAGAAATGAGAGAAGCGGGAGCTGTTGTGGCTGCAGTTGTGGAGGCAGATACTGTTGTAACTGATGACGGTGATGACGACGAGACGGATAAGGATGTGCTGGATGTTTGATTGGAAGGACTTGTGTTGGATTGGTGAAAAGAACCACGCCCCTGTGTCAACGTAGTGTTGTTAGCAGATTTATTTGTGCTGCAAATTAGACTGGATTCAACTGTGCCCACTGGACTAGTCATGTTTGTAGATGGATTTTTCGTACATTTTCCTTGTAAAGTCCCTTGGGTGCACGATGAAACGGCGGTGGATGCCGGGGATAGAATGGAAGGAAAGGTTGTTCGCGAGAGAGGCCGTTGTGGGTTTGTGCCGAATGTGGTCGAGTCTAAAGTGCAACCGTTCATTGTACTAGTAGAATCTAGCCCATTGATACCGCTTCCACTCCCAATACCACCGTTACTGATACCACAGTCATTAACTCCGGTGCCGCCGCCACTGCCACCGGGACCGGGACCAGAGCAGGTTGGTCCACCCGGAACAAATGAAGTAAAGGGCCAACAACCGCTGGACATGAGTGCGGACAGGAAAAGTGGATTCATGTAGGCCGCGTTAAACGGCAAATCGGATGGGTTTTGTCTAAGAGAATTGGGATCTGGATGCATACCGAACGAAACGGCAGTGGATAGTGCACCGACCGGGAATGAGTGCATATTGCTCTCTGATGCGTCGAACCCACATCCAGTGGGGAAACCAGGCATAGAGCTAGCAGCTGAAAGTTGCGGAGGGGCATGAAAATTTGAAGCAAAAGTAGGAAGCTCTTTTCCCAGTCCCGTTGCCATATCACGAGAAGTGAGGATCGGTGGTGATGTTTTGTCAGTATCCTCAAGGAATCTTTTGTGAGCGGACGATGAGTGTATTGTGGCTTCACAACTTGCGTGGCGTTTTCTGCGCCGAGTTTGGAATAATATGTTAGGACTGAGATCACGTGGTGCTCGACTGAGACGGTTATCCTCGGATCTTTTCGTAAATGAAATTCCTGGCCCGATGTTTGACATTGGTAATGAATTTTTCCTACCCACAGGCATCAAATCTCGGGTCGTTTTGGAGGTGGATAAAACGGGAGCCATAAACGCAATTGGAATGTCTTTTCTGCTTGATCCGGCAGTAACAAACTGAAAACAGAGAACGGAAAAATGATATTGATTATTCACAACTGAGCCAGATTTCAACGATTTTTACCATAGTGATTCACAAACATTTGCCATTTTAATTAATCACACCGAGAATAACAAAAGGTATACCAAGAAATTAATAGTAATTTTTTATAAGATTAGTGAAGAATCTAATTTGGTTATACGGTAATTTCCACATGTACAGAACGAAAGAAGCTTAAGATAAAAACCTAAGAAGCTCCGGAGAGCTGTTTCGACCTGATTTGACCTCATCAGTAATACAAATCATGCTACCCAACCGATGCTCGAACCCGAAACCTCACTGACAGAACACAAACGTATTTCATCACTAGGCTGCTGATCAAATC